CCCCAACACACCGACATGTGGGTACAGAAGTGAGGTAAAAGTGTGTCCCTACCCCAACACACCGACGTGTGGGTACAGAAGGGAGGTAAAAGATATAGTGTCCCTACCCCAACACACCGACATGAGGTTACAGAAGTGAGGTAAAAGATATGGTGTCCCTACCCCAACACACCGACGTGTGGGTACAGAAGGGAGGCAAAAGATATGGTGTCCCTACCCCAACACACCGACGTGTGGGTACAGAAGGGAGGTAAAAGATATGGTGTCCCTACCCCAACACACCGACGTGTGGGTACAGAAGGGAGGTAAAAGATATCGTGACCCTACCCCAACACACCGACGTGTGGGTACAGAAGGGAGGCAAAAGATATGGTGTCCCTACCCCAACACACCGACGTGTGGGTACAGAAGGGAGGTAAAAGATATCGTGTCCCTACCCCAACACACCGACGTGTGGGTACAGAAGTGAGGTAAAAGATATCGTGTCCCTACCCCAACACACCGACGTGTGGGTACAGAAGGGAGGTAAAAGATATCGTGTCCCTACCCCAACACACCGACGTGTGGGTACAGAAGGGAGGTAAAAGATATCGTGTCCCTACCCCAACACACCGACGTGTGGGTACAGAAGTGAGGTAAAAGATATCGTGTCCCTACCCCAACACACCGACGTGTGGGTACAGAAGGGAGGTAACAATCTTTTATCATTGACAGATAAGTTGTTGGAGTTTGTTGTGATTTACTGTTTTTCTCACATTGTATTGATGGCCACATGTTTTCCACTTCAGATGATTACATAATTAAAACAGATTTTCTGACAAACAGAATCAGTCTTACTTAGGGGGTTGAAGTGACAATGACGAATTTATGGTTAGATGTCCTAAAGGGAATGAGGTCAGAGTTTTTGAGTGCCTGGTCTGTGAGGGTGGGTTTTATTAGGACCTAGTCCGTGAGGTAGGGGTGTGGTGTATATTGGGGTTTGTGAGGTAGGGGTGTATGAGGGTTTGAGACAGTGGGGTTTTGTGAGGTAGGGGTGTATGAGGGTTTGAGACAGTGGGGGTTTGTGAGGTAGGGGTGTATGAGGGTTTGAGACAGTGGGGGTTTGTGAGGTAGGGGTGTATGAGGGTTTGAGACAGTGGGGGTTTGTGAGGTAGGGGTGTATGAGGGTTTGAGACAGTGGGGGTTTGTGAGGTAGGGGTGTATGAGGGTTTGAGACAGTGGGGGTTTGTGAGGTAGGGGTGTATGAGGGTTTGAGACAGTGGGGGTTTGTGAGGTAGGGGTGTATGAGGGTTTGAGACAGTGGGGGTTTGTGAGGGAGGGGTGTATGAGGGTTTGAGACAGTGGGGGTTTGTGAGGTAGGGGTGTATGAGGGTTTGAGACAGTGGGGGTTTGTGAGGTAGGGGTGTATGAGGGTTTGAGACAGTGGGGGTTTGTGAGGTAGGGGTGTATGAGGGTTTGAGACAGTGGGGGTTTGTGAGGTAGGGGTGTATGAGGGTTTGAGACAGTGGGGGTTTGTGAGGTAGGGGTGTATGAGGGTTTGAGACAGTGGGGGTTTGTGAGGTAGGGGTGTATGAGGGACAGTGGGGGTTTGTGAGGTAGGGGTTATGAGACAGTGGGGGTGTTGTGAGTGTAGTGGGGGTTTGTGAGGGTTTGAGACAGTGGGGGTTTGTGAGGTAAGGGTGTATGAGGGTTTGAGACAGTGGGGGTTTGTGAGGTAGGGGTGTATGAGGGTTTGAGACAGTGGGGGGTGTTTGAGACAGTGGGGGTAGGTAGGGGTGTATGAGGGTTTGAGACAGTGGGGGTTTGAGACAGTGGGGGTTTGTAGGGGTGTATGAGGGTTTGAGACAGTGGGGGTTTGTGAGGTAGGGGTGTATGAGGGTTTTAGACAGTGGGGGTTTGTGAGGTAGGGGTGTATGAGGGTTTGAGACAGTGGGGGTTTGTGAGGTTGGTGTTTTTGAGGGTTTGAGACAGTGGGGGTTTGTGAGGTAGGGGTGTATGAGGGTTTGAGACAGTGGGGGTTTGTGAGGTAGGGGTGTATGAGGGTTTGAGACAGTGGGGGTTTGTGAGGTAGGGGTGTATGAGGGTTTGAGACAGTGGGGGTTTGTGAGGTAGGGGTGTATGAGGGTTTGAGACAGTGGGGGTTTGTGAGGTAGGGGTGTATGAGGGTTTGAGACAGTGGGGGTTTGTGAGGTAGGGGTGTATGAGGGTTTGAGACAGTGGGGGTTTGTGAGGTAGGGGTGTATGAGGGTTTGAGACAGTGGGGGTTTGTGAGGTAGGGGTGTATGAGGGTTTGAGACAGTGGGGGTTTGTAAGGTAGGGGTGTATGAGGGCAGTGTTTGAGACAGTGGGGGTTTGTGAGGTAGGGGTGTATGAGGGTTTGAGACAGTGGGGGTTTGTGAGGTAGGGGTGTATGAGGGTTTGAGACAGTGGGGGTTTGTGAGGTAGGGGTGTATGAGGGTTTGAGACAGTGGGGGTTTGTGAGGTAGGGGTGTATGAGGGTTTGAGACAGTGGGGGTTTGTGAGGTAGGGGTGTATGAGTGTTTGAGACAGTGGGGGTTTGTGAGGTAGGGGTGTATGAGGGTTTGAGACAGTGGGGGTTTGTGAGGTAGGGGTGTATGAGGGTTTGAGACAGTGGGGGTTTGTGAGGTAGGGGTGTATGAGGGTTTGAGACAGTGGGGGTTTGTGAGGTAGGGGTGTATGAGGGTTTGAGACAGTGGGGGTTTGTGAGGTAGGGGTGTATGAGGGTTTGAGACAGTGGGGGTTTGTGCGGTAGGGGTGTATGAGGGTTTGAGACAGTGGGGGTTTGTGAGGTAGGGGTGTATGAGGGTTTGAGACAGTGGGGGTTTGTGAGGTAGGGGTGTATGAGGGTTTGAGACAGTGGGGGTTTGTGAGGTAGGGGTGTATGAGGGTTTGAGACAGTGGGGGTTTGTGAGGTAGGGGTGTATGAGGGTTTGAGACAGTGGGGGTTTGTGAGGTAGGGGTGTATGAGGGATTGAGACAGTGGGGGTTTGTGAGGTAGGGGTGTATGAGGGTTTGAGACGGGGGGTTTGTGAGGTAGGGGTGTATGAGGGTTTGAGACAGTGGGGGTTTGTGAGGTAGGGGTGTATGAGGGCAGTGTTTGAGACAGTGGGGGTTTGTGAGGTAGGGGTGTATGAGGGTTTGAGACAGTGGGGGTTTGTGAGGTAGGGGTGTATGAGGGTTTGAGACAGTGGGGGTTTGTGAGGTAGGGGTGTATGAGGGCAGTGTTTGAGACAGTGGGGTTTTGTGAGGTAGGGGTGTATGAGGGTTTGAGACAGTGGGGGTTTTTAAGGGATGACCATTCTGTTGGTCTGTGTATTGTATCAGTAACTAAGTCTGACATATTGACAATATCAGCACAACTTTTCCTTAATTCTCTCATTATTGGCGTGTACCAGGTTGGTGTTGCTATCCAGTTTTATATGAATCACCATGTCTTATCTGTAAAATAAACATTATGTCTCATATGGTTGTCCATTTACTTGGTAACTATAGAACTAGATAAATGTTGGGAATTATTAGACCTGACAGCATCTGTCTGAATTCCATAGCTACTGTTTATTTTACAATACACTTTATTGTGAAGACTGACAAGATTCTTCTATTTCTGTGTGAGGTTGGAGACCCTGATAAGGAAAAGAAATCACTTTTCCTTGTCCATAAATTTTTCTCACAAGATAGACAAAACCTTTTTGCTGTTTGTTTTGTCCTTTGTCATTTTTGACCTTGTACAAATTTTTTTTCAGTCATATAAGGATTGAATATCTACAAACATGTTCCAGTCAGGAAATAAACATTGTTTTGTTACTTGTCAAAACTTTATAAAGGAAGACAAAAAGAAATGTCATCTTAGGAAATTGTTCTAAAATTGCTGCAAGAATCATTTCAGAAATTGATGTTTTTGATGAGTTGGTACATGATGGAGATTTGTGTTGTGATTAAGATGCTTGACAGATGTAGTTGGGGTTCAGAAAAGAGATATTTGGGTGTGTGGGTAACATTGGTGGAATATTTACAATTTAAGGGTGTGTTTGTTTACATTTCTTTTCTTTTTTTTATAAATACCCATACTGTCAGTGACTTCACTAACAGACACAGGGAAGCTGTATTCCCTCAGTTTACTAGGATCACATTTCTGCAGAAGTAATATACTATTATTCTGATAGAGATGACTAATACCCAACAGACATCCTGCCAATATTACCTGACTATAGTTTGTTATTCTGCTGATGATAATTTGTTAGGCATTTGTGCTATTGTTGGATAAACCTTTCTAAGACATAAAATCGGTTGTTGTACAATGTTATGGGTTTACTTGGGGTTTTAGCAGAAAATTTGTTTATACAGAAATAGGGAGTCCGCAGTTTATACCTCAAGTTCTGAAGGAACTTGCTGGATTTATTGTGGGTGTTGTTCGGTCTCTTGACACATACATTGTAAAGTGGTTCTGCAGACATCTGTGTGATAATTCATACTCCTACACACCAAATTTTTACAGCAACAGTTTCTCATATTTAAACACATCTTTTCTGACAGAAAGATAGAAACATGACAGAACAAAGGTCTTCAAAAGCCATTTTACCAATTGTTTATATCTCACAAAATAAGATTTTCAGAGAAAGAGTTGTCAAAATAAGTGAACAGCAATAAAATTGTTAATTTTTGAGGGGATGTTAGACTTATAAAAGCTCATCTGATTACTTGAAGAGAAAAACTTCCTTGTTCATTTTACATGTAATTTTTGTTAGAAGTTACCTCCCTTAGGAACACGTTTCCATTTACAATTTGCCCGTTATTTGTGTTAGTTTTAATTCGTTCACCTATTATTTGCTGTCTTAAGGCTGTATGCTACCTTCCATAACATGTCTGTGTTTTTTGATAGTTCTGACTATATTTTAACAGTGTACATTTGCTTTCTTAGCGTTTATAATTTATTTGATAAGACTGTCCACTGACTTCATTACTTGTTTATATATTTCCAGGTGACAGAAGCAGGAAAGGACACACTACCATCATGGTTACACTTCCAGGAATCTTCTCGGCAGTTGAAAGGAGTTCCTTCCCCTTCAGATATCGGTCAGCAATACCTAGAGGTCATCATTGGAGGTCATGACAACTCACAGGCCAAAGATGTATTCTCAATATCTGTCACTGGCGAAAGTCCTGCAGAATTTGTCATGCAACCCCAACCAAGCGATTCTGGGCGACCCAACACAGTCCGATGTCGTCGCGACCTCCGTGAAACAGCTGTTACTGTTGTTTTGGATACTGATCTTGATCAATTGACTGCTCTCGAAAGAATCCATCTGATGGAAGATATGACAAAATTTCTGCCACTCAGTCTGGATATGTTGAAACTTCTTCCTGTGGGAAACAAACCTTTCATTGACAACAATGCACTGGTCGCTGGTCCTGGTGATGTAAAGACTCCTAAAAAGTCTGGCGCTCTGCTATCCTGGCTCGTCGGCTGTGGTGAGGTCAACAAGGATCACATGCCTGTTATCATGGAAGTGGAGCCACGGGCTAAGGATGGTAGTATGTCAAAAGCCCTTGGTCAGTCTATCATTGGCTGGCATGTTACCAACACTGAGCAACAAGCGAAACTTCGACGCCGCAGACAAGCAATTCGCACCACAGCGACTCCTGTTCTGACACAGGCCCCTCCCACTGATCTTCCTTCCCAGAAAGTTCCAGTAAAGGACACAGATACATTGATGCGATCTGTTCCTAACATGGAATCTCCAATGTTTACACCAACAAAAACTGCGGACATTAAACCAACGAAGACAGTAGTTATGCCATCAGCCAGTCCAGATGACCATGGTCATGATCACAGTCACATGATGACCAAATTACCAATGCCAGACACCACAACAAAGAAAACAATGATAGACAGTGTTATAACGCCATCAGCTAAGCCTGATTCTGGGCTGGAGCCAGAACCAAGAGCAACAGAAATTCTTCCTACTAAGGCATACACAATGACTGATGCTCCAACAAAGATTCCCAGACCTGTTGTTACAGATGCACCTCCATATTGTCCTCCAGATGATCAACCAAGAAGCCCATTCAAGAAAAACAGAATGGCTCCAATTTACTTCACTGCTGGACATTTTGCAGAATTTGCCATTCACAACGATTTGTTTTTCGACTGCAAGGATGGCGATACCAGAAGTCTACGATTAGATCTGTTCAAGGAAGACAGTGAAGTTCTGCCCATTAATTCCTGGGTAGGACTGAAACATAAAGAGGATGGAACTTGGGTCGTACAAGGGCTGCCAATGAACATGAACGAGGGAACGGAGACTTATCGACTCACAGCTATGAACACCAGAGGAACGTCGCCAGCTGTAGAGAACTTCATCATTGTTGTCCTTACACAAGATGGTGTATCTTATGAAAAACCAACTCATGAAATTGCACTCACACTTAACAATGACTTCGATACATTTAATTTTACTGATAGACTAATGCTGATGAAGAAGATTGCGAAATTATCAGGTGATGGAAATCAAAATAATATAGAAGTTCTCCGTGTTGAAAGAGGGTCTGTTATATATGCTTGGACAAATTCTTCACTGCCGAGAGATGGATGTCCTGCTTCAGAGATCCAAGCCATGACTGGAAAATTTTTAAGAGAAGATGGAACATTAAGGAAATCTGCAAGGAACAGACTTGCCCCTTACAAACTCTCGGGTGTAGAATTAGCTCCCAAGGGGGCATGTATTAACAATCCTAACTTCCCAACTCTCGGAGTCAAACAACAACCGACTCCTGAGCCAGAACCTGAACCAACTAAGAAACCTGTTGTTCCTGAAGATGAACCACCATATAATGTTGAGACAACTACCCCTGAACCAGATGCAGGTCTAGGCAAAGCTGCTCAGGGTGATGACGACGAAGTCTGGATCACAACGGTCGTACCTGCTGTAGTGATTGTAGCAATTTTACTCATTGCCCTCATCATTGCTTGTGTCCTCTACAGGAAGAAGAGGAAGGGCAAAATGTCTCTTGAGGACAAAAACACATTTGTTAACAAAGGTGCACCGGTGATTTTCCCAGATGAATATGATGAAAAACCAAATGATTCAACAAAACCTCTCATTATGGACGATGAGAAACCTCCCATGCCCCCACCCGAGTACACAAGGGCGTCAAGTGAAAGTTCAAGGTCATCAGTGGACAACAAAAATGACAATGATGTAGCAGAGGAATTAGAAATGAATGAGCCTGATGTGAATTCTCCCCTTTACCAACCACCTCCTCCAGTGCCTGCCTCGGGTGGTAACAAACAACCACGCCCACATGTCACACCCGCCTACAAAAACCCTGCCCCATACGTGCCTCCATAAGACTGGGCAATCTCTCTAAGAGAAATAATCATTGATGTGTTGTTAAAAATAGTTCTACAATTGGTATGAATGAGGTGGTTGGTATGCATTGGTATGGATGTATGTATATGCAAACATTGGCTGACTATACTTACTTAGGGGTTGGGACTGTGGGTCATGTGTGGGGTCATGTACGGGATCAGAGTTCTGTGTCATGTGTCTGCTGCTGATGTTGATTCATGCGCATTACCAGGACTCCCCCAAGTGTTTATGTTATATATATATATGACAAATCGGCCTTATTAAACATCATGTGATCTACCAATCATCCTGCATGCTGACCAAAAATTGCTGACAGTGCATGCTTTTCCTAACCAACAGAAATGTTATGATGTTGTGTACAGTGTCAAAGCATAGCATCAAACTCTTGATTCTGTGTTTCCAGATCTAGCTATGTTACGCCTGCAATCATGTGATCTGCAATTACCTCGCTCAGACCCCGCATCCCCTAAATGACTACAGTGGTATAGCCCATTTCAGTACAAAGACAGTCCATTGCCACAACTGAGGGATGAGAGGTTTTTGACTGACTCGGTAGAACTTGGTCAGTGATGTCAGAAGAGAACTGTGTGACATTGCCATTGATATGATACAATTATGTGTGCATGAATTGCAGTTGATATGAGGAGGACAGGTTCATGGATGGTATTAAATGTGACAATGCTTGACATGCATGGATTACAAATATAATGTTGTTAAAGAACTCGGTCTTGGTACCAAGTTCTTTGTTAATAGTCACTGGTGCTAGTTAGTGAAAGGACAGTTGTCATGGTAACAGTACTGGGTTGCCAAGGAAACTGGGCTAGTCACATGACAAAGAATTCAGCTTATTTTTATTCTTGTTAGCAAATGTTTTACAATTCACTGTCGAGGATGCTTGAAGGAGTGGAAGATTATCACAATGGAAACCTGTGATGGCGTTTACAGTACCATGAATGAGAAGTCTCTTACATAAAAGCAGCATCTCTCATATATCCAGACAGAAGTGAATGGAGAGATTCTTCTGTTCAATGTTTATCGTGATATTGGCTGCAGTGATTGTGGAATGCCTAAGGACAATACATTACTATCATTTCATACATGGTGTAGGCTACCATACAGGCTTCTGTCTGTACAATTTGATGAAATTTTTTTTAAATGTTTAAAAATTGATTCATTACATCTTGATAGATATTTTTCCTCTTCACATGATCGAAGTAGAGGTTTCTTATGTTTTTTCTCTCTCTTTTTCTTTTTTCTTTTTTTTTTTTTTTTTTTGTAGTAATTTTTTTTTTCTTTATAGAAATATTATTTATATAACTAAAAGTCACTGTTTTAATTGTTGATTGATAGTGTGGAATACCGTTTTTAATATCAAGGTCACACTTTCAGCAAAATGAGGAAAAGTCTTGATTTAAGGTGACAAATCCATGTCAGTATTTCCCTGCTAAATGAAAGCATTCAGTTTGAATGTGTCTATTGTCCAGGGGTAACAGGAGTTTCAACTTACCAAGGCTGGCTGCATCAAATAATTATTTCCTTTTTGATTCAAGTGCTAATTAAAATAATTATTTAATTAAGTAATTAATCAAGTTTAATGATACTGTGAGAATATTTGTTGTATTAGTGTTGAGCTAGGAATACTTGTCAACACTTCCTCATTCCCGGAACCATTCTCTTTGTCATTGATCAAGTCTTCTCTAATGCCAACTGTCATACTGAAATCACAGTCAGAGATTTTAATCTAAATATTGATAAAGTACTGAGCTTTAAACTTCAAAATCGTGTAAAAGCTTTTAAAAGTCATTCAAAACATTTTAATATAATTTAACTTGAGAGAAAATTGAGACATTTCATGAATTTGGACCAGACAACAATGTCTGGCTTGGAATAAGGAATTATTGACGGTAGTTTAGTGGTAGTAATTGATAGTCATCATCATTGATGAAACTTTTAATTTTGTATAAACATTGTAGTTATCTGTGAGAATTGTCTCATGATCATATTTAATGTCAGGAGATAAAGGAGAGGAATTCTAGTAGAAACGTCACAGATTTGTAGTAATAGTTTTGTCCTTAATACTCAACCTCCAAATCAGGGATGGTAACATTTGATATTTTTGGAAGGAAACTGTCATTCCTTCTGAAACAGATTGCCAAAGTCTTAGAAATCACCTTTTCTTAAGGTTCATCATATATATAGATATGTATATAATGAATATTTTCACCAAAAGATTTCAAAAAGTAAAATTAAAATGGATTTAGATATTGTATAAAAACAAATAGAATTCAGATTTGAATGATCCATTTCTTGTGTCGAAGACTTTTGGTTTAAATTTCAAAAGCGAACCAAGAAGTGATATTTTTATTGAAGTTGGTATGTTTGTTTCAAGAAATAGAAAAATTGATGATTCACAATAAGGTCTAGCTATCTGGTATAAAGGCACATGTTTGTGTAAATTTTCATCTTCATTTCTAACATAAATATGTTACCAGGATTGATGTATACACTAGCAGACCATCAGCTTTACATCAATGTACTGTTTGAAACTATTGAGAAAACATGGAAATGTTCAACAGTTTAAATGATGATTATTATTATTTTTATTGTATGTAAATCATTCATCGCTTGTAAATCATATCAGCTTTTTACTATCTTTCTGGATTTTATTTTCAAATGTTTGTAGAAATCCATCATCTTTAATGCTAAAACCACTTATGGCCTTACATTGTACTAGTAGTTGGAGTCATTTTTTTCAATAAAGTCTGTTAGGAATATTAGAACTAATTTAAGAATAGGTCTTACTTGCATTAAAACATGTGATTTTCCTGAAAGTTTTCACATTGTTTTTGTTCACATTATGATAAAACTGGACAAAAACATTTTGAATTTCTTTAATTCAAGCCTATAGTCAAATCAACTCCTTTAAGAACTATTTTGTTGATCAGAAAAATCAAATATTGAGAATTATCTCATGGAAATGTAGACACAGAAATTTTTTTTTTTTATTAAAATGTAAATGACCAAACTGAGGACATTAAAAAAGTCAGAATATACAAATAAAAGATGAGCTTGTGAGTGGATCTTTTGAATGTAGACTTCATGTAAATGAGTGGGATAACTGCTTTGATTGTGTGAAATGTTCTACAAAGTCATTCTATATGTTGTCTGAAAATATGTTTGAAAGTTTTTCCTTAGCCACAAAATAAAAGTATGCTGGCAGTTGGCATGTAGGCTCTGAAGAGTTACTCTCATTTTATAAATAAACATTACACTGCCATTGCTAGCTGTGTAATCCATATTTTAGGACGAGAACCAGTAGGAAAAGTTATGGTTACTTTCATTTTATATGTACATTGTACTGCATTATCATCACTAGGTACATTGTGCTACATAACAACTGCATGGAGTCAGTCACTCTTTTCATGTGCGTTGTATACCATAAAATGTCTTTATGGCATATGATAACTGCATGAAGCTACTTTCACTTTACATACCCATTGTATTACCATCTGTGTAAGGAGTTACTTTCATTTTACATGTACAACATATTATGACCAATGCTGTGTTGCTCATATATGGCTGTGTATGCCCTATATATATATATATATATACTACATTATTCCATGTAAAATGCCCTGTTGGGGGCTCTGCCTTTATATAGTGTTTATGTTGTCGCTAGCAAACTAGAATGTTTTGTTTCTTTTTTTGTGTGTGTATTTTGCGCACTTTTGTGTTGATTTTTATTGGTGTCACTGTTCAGATTCTGTTTACTATCATTACTTCCAAAACATTTACACAGAAAACTTGATAGAAATGGACAGTCATGTTTCAAGTTCACGATGAAAAAATAATTTAAAAATTTGAAGTTTTAATTTGTGGTTTACAGACCCTAAACATGTGAATATTTGCTGTCAATGTTTTTCCTGAACTTGAAGGATGACTAGCACATGCCATCATTTAGAGATAACTGACAATAATATCCATTTCCACGCAACGCGACGTAGGATGGGACATGCCAGGAGATAGAGGGGCGAGTTTAATTAGTATTTATTTAAATATTCACTCATATATACCTTTGTATGTTAATTTACATATATATTACACATATTTCATGATGTGCCATGGCAAATCATTACAAATTCTTACTAAATGCATTTCTCTGAAATTCATCCTTCTATTTTTCAGTCTGATACCTTGGGTGTCTCTGTGTGTGTATATAAGACTGATTAATCTCCAAAAATTCAAATTTTGATTTTAGTGTCATGTGAAATGTTAATTGCATTTAGTTTAACAAAATGAAACATAACTGTCTTTTTTTTAAAATTTTCACTGGTATTAGTATAAATCTTAGAAATTTTATTTAATTTTGATCCATTTAAAAGTACAAAGGATATAAAACTATAAGTATGGTATACTAACCAATTATATGAGAATTATATTCATCCATACTTAAAGATAGATATACATATACATTGTATTTACCATTATTTCTACCTGGAGACTTTGACCAATAACACATTCATCTATACAACGATGGTAAAGCCAGTCTGCTATCTTAGGGTAGTGACTTCAACATGTATGCTACTTGACTGGATCTCTTCATTGCTATGACGATTAAGGATGTTTACAATCTTACTGTGACAACCTAAGGATGTTTGCAATCTTACTGTGACAACTTAAGGATGTATGCTACCTTACAGTGACAACTTAAGGATGTATGCTACCTTACTGTGACAACTTAAGGTTGTATGCTACCTTACTGTGACAACTTAAGGATGTATGCTACCTTACAGTGGCAACTTAAGGATGTATGCTACCTTACTGTGACAACCTAAGAATGTATGCTACCTTACTGTGACAACCTAAGGATGTTTGCAATCTTACTGTGACAACTTAAGGATGTATGCTACCTTACTGTGACAACTTAAGGATGTATGCTGCATTACAATGACAACTGAAAGATATATGCTACCTTATAGTGACAACATAGGATATATATTATCATATACTGTATGGTTGGCTTCCTTACTATCAAGTCTTGATTATAATGCATGCTTACTTTAAGCTTTGCTTCCTTACTGTGATGACTTAAAGATGTATGCTATTTAATGTGAAATGATCTCTTTTCAAAAAGAGCTCCACACTAAGATAACCAGTTAAGGGAGAATATATATATTGTTGCATGCATCCATCAGTTGAACAAATATGTTGAATTATTATTCCAGTCAAATCAACATGTGATCGTATTGATGTATGTTTTCCAGTACGGGATCTTCACACGAAAAATTATTATAGTCATGTAAGAAATAAACACAACTGTGGAATTTATTATCTGATTAATGTAATTATAGCTATAGATATTTCTCCAATTCCCTATCAGTAAATACAGACAGAAACTTTAGTCGAGACCAATTGATTGAAATTTTATAGAATTTTCAGTCTAATTTTTGACAATAACAACAAGAATTCAGCAGATATAAGATGTTGTGATTTTTAAATGTTGATCTTATTTTTGTTATAATTACATAACAGTATGTATTTTTCGTTTTTTTAATCTTGAAAATCATATAATTTGCATTTTAGTATTTGATGTTCACAAAAGTACTGTTGACACAAATATCAGATAGGTGTTTCTGTTGGAGTCTGCTTTGTTTCTGTGGGTGGCAGATGTCCCAATTGAGGCCAGATTTATGCTGGTCCGGGTGTCCAGAATTATGGTCAAGTTTTGAGTTGTATGTTCATTGCTATTGAGATGATATTTCAATAAACTGTGGCCACAAACTAAAACAAGTTCTAGTACATATATGTAAAATGTTTGTGGGGAAAAAGTAACTTTTAAGAAAATAGTTTAACAATTTAAGTATGACTGTGGCCACAAACACAGTAAACAATGTAGTACAGACACAAAGAACATTTTATAGTAGACTGTGGCCACAAACAGTAAGCAAAATAGTACAGACAGAAAGAACATTTTATAGTAAACTGTGGCCACATACTACATAAACAAAGTAGTACAGACACAAGAACATTTTATAGCAGACTGTTGCCACAAACACAGTGAACAAAGTAGTACAGACACAAGAACATTTTATAGTAGACTGTTGCCACAAACACAGTGAACAAAGTAGTACAGACACAAGAACATTTTATAGCAGACTGTTGCCACAAACACAGTGAACAAAGTAGAACAGACACAAAGAACATTTTATCCTAGACGTGCCAGATTCTACTTAATCATTGTTGTACAGACACAAAGAACATTTTATAGTAGACTCTGGCCACAAACAGTAAGCAAAATAGTACAGACAGAAAGAACATTTTATAGTAGACTGTGGCCACAAACACAGTAAACAATGCAGTACAGACAGAAAGAACATTTTATAGTAGACTGTGGCCACATACCACATAAACAAAGTAGTACAGACACAAAGAACATTTTATAGTAGACTGGCCACATACTACATAAATAAAGTAGTACAGACACAAAGAACATTTTATAGTAGACTGTGGCCACTAACACGGTAAACAATGTAGTACAGATACAAAGAACATTTTAAAGTAGACTGTGGCCACAAACACATAAGCAAAATAGTACAGACAGAAAGAACATTTTATAGTAGACTGTGGCCACAAACACAGTAAACAATGCAGTACAGACAGAAAGAACATTTTATAGTAGACTGTGGCCACAAACACAGTATATAAAGTAGTACAGACACAAAGATCATTTTATAGTAGACTTGCCACATACTACATAAACAAAGTAGTACAGACACAAAGAACATTTTATAGTAGACTGTGGCCACATACTACATAAATAAAGTAGTACAGACACAAAGAACATTTTATAGTAGACTGTGGCCACTAACACAGTAAACAATGTAGTACAGATACAAAGAACATTTTAAAGTAGACTGTGGCCACAAACACAGTAAACAATGCAGTACAGACAGAAAGAACATTTTATAGTAGACTGTGGCCACAAACACAGTGTATAAAGTAGTATAGACACAAAGAACATTTTATATTAGACTGTGGCCACAACACAGTACAGACAACATTTTATAGTAGAAACAATAGTAGTACAGACAAAGAACATTTTATAGTAGACTGTGGCCACAAACAGTAAACAAAGTAGTACAGACACAAAGAACATTTTATAGTAGACTGTGGCCACCAACAGTAAACAAAAGTAGTACAGACACCAATTACATTTTATAGTAAACTGCGGCCACAAACACAGTAAACAATGTAGTATAGACAAAAGAACATTTTATAGTAGACTGTGGCCACAAACAGTAAACAATGTAGTACAGACACAAAGAACATTTTATAGAACATTTTATAACATTTTATAGTAGACTGTGGCCACAAAGAGTAAACAAAAGTTGTACAGACACAAAGAACATTTTATAGTAGACTGTGGCCACATACTACATAAAAAATGTAGTACACACACAAAGAACATTTTATAGTAGACTGTGGCCACATACTACATAAACAAAGTAGTACAGACACAAAGAACATTTTATAGTAGACTGTGTCCACAAAGAGTAAACAAAAGTTGTACAGACACAAAGAACATTTTATAGTAGACTGTGGCCACATACACAGCAAAATGTAGTACAGACAGAAAGAACATTTTATAGTAGACTGTGGCCACATACTACATGAACAAAGTAGTACAGACAAAAAGAACATTTTATAGTAGACTGTGGCCACATACCACATAAGCAAAGTAGTATAGACACAAAGAACATTTTATAGTAGACTGGCCACATACTACATAAATAAAGTAGTACAGACACAAAGAACATTTTATAGTAGACTGTGGCCACAAATAATAAGCAAAGTAGTACAGACACAAAGATCATTTTATAGTAGACTGTCCACATACTACAGAAATAAAGAAGTACAGACACAAAGAACATTTTATAGTAGACACCACAAACACAGTGAACAAAGTAGTACAGACACAAAGAACATTTTATAGTAGACTGGCCACATACCACATAAACAAAGTAGTACAGACACAAAGAACATTTTATAGTAGACTGGCCACATACTACATAAATAAAGTAGTACAGACACAAAGAACATTTTATAGTAGACTGTGGCCACATACTACATCAATAAAGTAGTACAGACACAAGAACATTTTATAGCAGACTGTTGCCACAAACACAGTGAACAAAGTAGTACAGACAAAAAGAACATTTTATACTTGACTGTGGCCACAAAAAGAACATTTTATAGTAGACTGTGGCCACATGGCCACAAACACAGTAAACAAAGTAGTAGACTGGTGAACAAAGTAGTACAGATACAAAGAACATTTTATAGTAGACTGTGGCCACATACCACATAAACAAAGTAGTACAGACAAAAAGAACATTTTATACTTGACTGTGGCCACAAACACAGTAAACAATGTAGTACAGACACAAAGAACATTTTAAAGTAGACTGTGGCCACAAACAGCAAAGAAGTACAAACAAAAAGAACATTTGATTGTAGACTGTGGCCACATACCACATAAACAAAGTAGTACAGACAAAAAGAACATTTTATACTTGACCGTGGCCACAAACACAGTAAACAATGTAGTACAGACACAAAGAACATTTTATAGTTTGGCCACAACACATAGAACATTTTATAGTAGTGGCCACAAACACTGTGACACAAAGAACATTTTATAGTAAGTAGTACAGACACAAAGATCATTTTATAGTAGACTTGCCACATACTACATAAACAATGTAGTACAGACACAAAGAACATTTTAAAGTAGACTATGGCCACAAACAGAATGCTAAGTAGTACAGACACCAAGAACATGTTATAGTAGACTGTAGCCACATACTACATAAACAAAGTAATACAGACACAAAGAACATTTTATAGTAGACTGTGGCCACAAGCACAGTAAGCAAAGTAGTACAGACACAAAGAACATTTTATAGTAGACTGTTGCCACAAACACAGTGAACAAAGTAGTACAGACAAAAAGAACATTTTATAGTAGACTGTGGCCACATACCACATAAACAAAGTAGTACAGACACAAAGAACATTTTATAGTAGACTGGCCACATACTACATAAATAAAGTAGTACAGACACAAAGAACATTTTATAGTAGACGTTGGCCAAAAGCACAGTATATAAAGTAGTATAGACAAAAGAACATTTTATAGTAGACTGTGGCTACAACAACAGTATATAAAGTAGTATAGACACAAAGAACATTTTATAGTAGACTGGCCACATACTACATAAATAAAGTAGTACAGACACAAAGAACATTTTATAGTAGACTGTGGCCACATACTACATAAACAAAGTAGTACAGACACAAAGAACATTTTATAGTAGACTGTGGCCACATACTACATAAACAAAGTAGTACAGACACAAAGAACATTTTATAGTAGACTGTGGCCACAAACAGTAAACAAAGTAGTACAGACACACAGAACATTTTATAGTAGACTGTGGCCACAAACTCAGTAAACAATGTAGTATAGACAAAACAACATTTTATAGTAGACTGTGGCCACAAACAGTAAACAAAGTAGTACAGACACAAAGAACATTTTATAGTAGACTGTGGCCACATACTACATAAACAAAGTAGTACAGACACAAAGAACATTTTATATTAGACTGTGGCCACAAACAGTAAACAAACGTAATACAGACACAAATAATATTTTATAGTAGACTGTGGCCACAAACACAGTAAACAATGTAGTACAGACACAAAGAACATTTTATAGTAGACTCTGGCCACAAACAGTAAGCAAAATAGTACAGACAGAAAGAACATTTTATAGTAGACTGTGGCCACAAACACAGTAAACAATGCAGTACAGACAGAAAGAACATTTTATAGTAGACTGTGGCCACAAACACAGTAAACAATGCAGTACAGACAGAAAGAACATTTTATAGTAGACTGTGGCCACATACTACATAAACAAAGTAGTACAGACACAAAGAACATTTTATAGTAGACTGTGGCCACAAACAGTAAGCAAAGTAGTACAGACACAAAGAACATTTTATAGTAGACTGTGGCCACAAACACAGTAAACAATGTAGTACAGACACAAAGAACATTTTATAGTTGACTGTGGCCACAAACACAGTAAACAATGTAGTACAGACACAAAGAACATTTTATAGTAGACTGTGGCCACAAACAGTAAGCAAAATAGTACAGACAGAAAGAACATTTTATAGTAGACTGTGGCCACAAACACAGTAAACAAAGTAGTACAGACACAAAGAACATTTTATAGTAGACTGTGGCCACAAACACAGTAAACAATGTAGTACAGACACAAAGAACATTTTATAGTAGACTGTGGCCACATACTACATAAACAAAGTAGTACAGACACAAAGAACATTTTATAGTAGACTGTGGCCACAAACACAGTAAACAATGTAGTACAGACACAAAGAACATTTTATAGTAGACTGTGGCCACAAACACAGTAAACAATGTAGTACAGACACAAAGAACATTTTATAGTAGACTGTGGCCACAAACAGTAAGCAAAGTAGTACAGACACAAATAACATTTTATAGTAGACTGTGGCCACAAACACAGTAAACAATGCAGTACAGACAGAAAGAACATTTTATAGTAGACTGTAGCCACATACTACATAAACAAAGTAGTACAGACACAAAGAACATTTTATGCTTGACTGTGGCCACAAACAGTAAGCAAAGTAGTACAGACACAAATA